CTCGGGGGGGAACGAAGCCCGCCGGAGCCTCTCCTCTTTCTGTTTCAGCTCCTTCTTCCTCCCCCCCGGCACCATCCTACTCCCCGACCACTTGGCACCCGACCACCCAGCACCCGACCACCCAGCACCCCAGTCTCACTAGCTCTGTACCAGTGCTCACACAGACAGCTCCCCAGCGGTAAGCTCTGTGACCGCCATCACCTCTCTCCCACCACGAAGGCTCCAGCCCCCCACCATGAATACCAGCTCCTGCCCGCAGTGGCCACCTCCCTCCATGAGGCCTCTCTGGTGCAGCTGGAGCCCTGCAACCCTCCGGGCTCTTCACACCTCCCTTCAGGATGCAGACCTCCTGCTTTTGCCTTTAGAGGCCAGCGTTCCATCCTCCCAGCCAGCCGCTGCGCGTGGAAAATTATCCCAGCAGCCCTGGTCGCCCTGTCCCAAGGCCCCGTCCGCCTTGCAGCTTCAGCACCGCACAGACGCTCACCGAGCGATAAACGGTTTCTGGCTGCGGCGCTGACGCCGTTTCCTTCCCCAAAGCTGAGAGGGGCCGTTTGCTTGTCGGAAACCAAGTGCCGAGCTGGGACCTCTTCTGCTTTGTAGTCACGTGGAGGTAATTGAGAAAGCGTGAGGCTAGAGCGGCAGAGCTTCCTCCCTGCTCTTCTGCCTCGTGGAGGTGCTGGAGGAAGCGGGCAGAGCTCAGGCTCTACACAAGGGGTAGCTGGCACACCGAGCTTGCCCAGTCACCCATTACAACAACGTCAACAAATAACGGAGCTAAACCAGAGCAAAATGAGCTGCAGGAACGGATCCGTAAAACAGCGAAGACGCAGCAGCTCCCCGACCCGAGGGCCCGTTTGCTGCCGCCGTTTTCCCTTTGCTTTGCTCCGTGGCTCCTGGCCACCCCCGCGCCGGCTGCCCTTCCTCCCGAGGCCAAGCCCCGCGCCCACTCCCCGCCTGCTCCGTGCTGGCTCCCCCGAGTCTGCTTCCCAGGAGAAGCGCGGGAGCAGAAACTCTTTTTTTTCCTTGCAGCTTGGACACGGTTGAGCACATCCTCACTCCAGGCATCGTCGTGGTTCTTCTTTTGCTGGCAGTTGCTGCTGGCGTCTTGATAGCGCTGTCCAGGAAAAGGAAGAAGGGTAAGCGAAGCTGTCGCTGCCCCACACACGCCGTCTCTGCACCGGAGCCAGTCTGCTGCTGTATTTGGTTTTTTCCTCTATATTTCTTCTTTCTCCCCCATTCCCTCCCTGACCCATCCAATTCCTGGATCCGTCACTGGGACCTCCACCAAGGAGGTCTCCTTCCCTCGAGGGTGTGGTGGGACCGTCCCACAGGTCTGTTCACCTCGGGAGCGGGGAATGGCAGCCCTCGGGATGGGTGCTGCCCGGCACGGCACCCGCTCGAGTTTGTCTGGGCACCTCCAGCAGCTCTCAGCTGCACAGGCCAGGCTTGCGCTAGGCTTGATGCAAAGTTTAAGGCCACTTAAACTGCAGGGATGGGAGGGGAAGTCACCAGCTGGTAGGTGGGGTCTGGGTTTATTTGAAGAACTGCTCCAGTTCAGGTGGTTGATGGGGCAGTGGGTTCCCTTCCGCTTTACAGCGAGATTCACAGCAGCAGGGCAGGTTTTTAATACATGTTTTTTTCCTCTGGTTTCACTCATGTCTAACCATATCTGTGCTTCCTCCAGCCCTCCCCGAAGCAGCTGTGGAGATGGCCAGGACCCGCAGCACGTCGCACGCAGTAAGGCAAACCGCGCGAGGTCTCGGGATGACGCGCTCCGAGGAGGGGGAACCTTCCCCCCTGAGCGAAGGAGCTGCCAGACCCCAGCGTGGTTCCTGGCCTTTGAGGCTGGGAGGGATCCTTCGGGCTCTGTTCACCGACAGAGAGACCCGATCAGGGGTTTCCTGCGATTACTGCAGAATATTCCTGGGAAGCGAATTTAGGATTGAGCTGAGAGGTTTCTCCCCAAGCCCCTCCAAGCAGTTCAGCTGCTTTTTGGGTGAAACAGCCTTGGGACCCGGCAGCAGAGCACACCTGGGGAGGCTGTGGGGCAGCTGAGCTTTGGTCACTGCTTGGAAAGTATTTTCTAATGTTTTCTGCCAGCTTTCAGGGAAGGGCCGGTGTCACTAACGATATTCTCCCTGGGAAATGTTGAGCCAGCCCTTGCTGCAGGTTAAATTCTCCCGCAGCCGTCTCGGCTCTCATCAGGAGAGGGCTGGGAGATGTTCCCATCCCGGCGGGCTGCGGGCAGGGAGTGCAGGCAGGGGCTGCAGGCAGGGGAGCAGCAGCAGGTTCCGAGCCCATCCCTCTCCTTTGCCCGTCAGGGATCGGACGCCTTGGTCTACGCGGACATCAGGCACCCCGGGCGCAGAGCCGAGGCTTCCCGCTGCGTGGCCAACACCGCGGCCGAATACATGGAGGTGAAGCGGAGAGATAAGGTAGGAGAGGGCAAAGCAGCGCCGAGCTCGAGGCGGTGGGTGGAAAGCTGGGCTGGGTGGGCGACGGCGTGGGCAGCGGGGTGGGTTGGTGGGCGCGGGGGGGCTGCAAATGACCCTGGGTAATGCGGGTGCCCTCTCTGGGGCTGCTCCTGGGTGCGTAAAGCAGCCGAGAGACGTTCCAGTATCACAGAATCACAGAATCACAGAATAGTAGGGGTTGGAAGGGACCTCTGTGGGTCACCCAGTCCAACCCCCCTGCCCAAGCAGGGT